AAAATAAAATAAATAAAATAAAATGGGGAATATAAAGGTAGGACCCCTCGCAGCCATTCGTAAGGAGAGGAAGGGTGAGAGAGAGTGTGACCCGGGGGCCTGCCATGGGAGAGTGTCTCGAGATGAGATGGATTCAGCTCTGTGCTTCTTGTCAACCAAAGTAAACAGAAGAAAACAAAACAGGAACAACAAAGGCACCCGGTTGATGAAATAGCTGCCCTTGCTTGCGAAAAGGACAGTTGTGAGTTTTGTTTTTCTGCTTTTTCCCCCAGAGGGTGTACATCTTCTCCTGACTTAATTCACCAAGAAAGTGTTGCCTCCGTGCCTCTATGAGAAATAGCGAGCAAGCCGCCGACGGCTTTGAAGCTGCAGCATGTCTCAGGTCACGCAGCGGGGAGCTGAAGGTCCCGGGGTGAAGGTGGGAGAGGAGGTACCCGGGCTGCTCTCTTCTCATTTGAAAGTTTAATGTGTTTAAATGTAATCTAATCAAACATGTAATGAAAATGTATTTTAAAACATGGGCTCAAAGAGCATGTCCGGCCTCAAATAGTCCTTCCTAGCCTGTTTAATGTCATTTTAAAGTGATTTTAGGAGGGAGAAGAGGGGCATGCATGTGTTTTATGTCCGTCATCAGCTGGACGCTGTTCATTGTCACTGTCACAGCGAAGTCCGCTCTAACAGGAGGAAGCAGATGGAGACAGGGACTTTAACTTGGCTCTCAGTAACTAGCGGCGGAGGTGTGGGGCATTTGTGCGGCGCTTGTTTTATTGTGGTTTCCAGTTTGTGGGTTAGGCCTGAGCTCTCGCCCGCTGACCTCTGGTTGAAGGATGTGAAATTTGCCTCATAGTTAACTTAATAGCGCAATTAAACTCACAGTTAACACAGAACACCCGCGGGCCAGGTTCTTGTCAAACGTTACAACCTCCTGCTCTCCGCTGTTTGAAATACTTTCATCCATTTGTTCAGGTAGATGCTTTGCTTTTCTTTTTTAAAGAAATAGTTTTATTGATTTGTAGAGAGAGAGGTAGGGAGAGGGAGAGAGAAAGAGAAACATCAATATGAGAGCGGAACATCGCCTCCCTCCCGAACACCTGCAAACTGGGTGTGTGCCCTGACTAGGAACTGAACCAACAACCCTCTGGTGCACGGGACGACACCCGACCAACTGAGCCACACCAGCCAGGGCCCGATAGGTGTTTTCCAGTGTGGGTTTTGTGGAACATTAGTTGCATGAGCTGCTTAAAGACAAAAAGAGAAAGCTTAATGATCAAACCCACGTGGGGAAGTCTGTACTCTATCACTGCCTCTTGAAGGTTCTCAGTGCACCTGGGGATGGTAAAGGCTCTGACAAGTCCTGCAGTAGTGAAACATATATTTCATTGGTTCTAAAGTTTCCATGTTTTCCACATTTTAATGTCTCTGAAATTACAATATATTT